ATATATATATATATATATATATACAATAGTCTTGATTAATTTTTCTCCCCTGACTTAGCCTCAAATAAATCCATAGAATAAAGGGAATTAATTCACTAAAACTAAACAGTCTAAACATCAGTTTCTCTGACTACATGACCCTGTTTGTTTTTACAACCAGCCCTCTGAATCCCAGGCGCTCGAAGCTCCACCTATCAGAGGACCTGACCTGCCTCAGTCGTCTCGCCCATTGGCCGCTCCGCGTGTCARTCGCGTGGTAGTGGGCGTGGCTGGGTGGAGGACATGAAGAGAGGAGGGGCGCTTGTCAAATGTGGTCGTGTGCTCGTCAAAAAGTGTTTGTTGTCGGTGTGAGTGAAAGCAGGCGGCCGCMGCTGTTGTGTTCGGCTCGTCGTGTTCCGGATGCTCCGGGACGAAGTGTGTTCGTCTCGCGGACCTCTTCTCTCCACACACACAGCTGCACAGAGGCTTTGCGCACGTCTGAACGGAGCTAGAGAGACTCGAGAACGGAGCGGACTTGTTGCGCGTCTCCGGACTGAGCGCACCGTTCCGGGTTTCAGCCAGCCTCGACCTGCGCGTGATGCTCCGCTTCGAGCGCCTTTACGAGCCGTGTTCGAACTGAGTGTGGACTCGGAGCTCAGGCTGACCGTCTGAAATCKGCTCGGAATGAAGAGCGTGTAGAGGATCGGCTGAAGCCCTCCCTCCTGGCWTAAAGCAAACTTTATTCATCCGGTTTGATTTTCTGTTCCTCCCCGCTGCTTCCAAACTGAGCTCTCCCCATACGCCTCCACCACCTCCTCCTCCTCCTCCTGCTCGTCGACATGTCTGAGCGTGATGGATGTGGAGACGGAGGGCTGTGCAGCGACGGAGCGGCGGACAACATTCCACCGAGGGCGCCTCGCGGCCGGCGCAGCGGCGTCATCGTCCCCGGCGGCGCGCTGGAGCCCGACATCATCCTGCTGGAGACAGTGAAGGCAGCTCCGCGCCGGAGCAGCATCATCAAGGTACAGACATCCCTGCCAGACATGTTTATACCCCCCCCC